TCCAAAGTCACGAAATAGGTTTTTGTAGAGACGTCCGTTTAAAATTTCATCGGTCAATCACCCGTTCCTAAATTCATTTTTGACTCCGTAACAGCCCACGATGAAAAATTGGGAGTATCTCGAGTATCCGAGATACTTAGATCTCCGTCTCCCAAAAGTATCACTCCGCGCCATTGGGCATACTTTTCGGAGACTCACCGTGTCTCTCATTGGGAGACTCCTGTATTCATATTGGAGACGCTTCCAAGCGGATACTCGAGTCCCCGAAAGTATTAGGATGGGAGACAGATATCCGTCTGTCTCAAGGAGATTATTCAGAGACTTTCAAACATTCGTTAATTGTTTTATGTTATTTATTGTTATTACAGAATGAAAATTGTTGAAAAATTAAACCGAACAAATTGTTGCAAACAATCTTAAATTCTAGTTTCTATAGAAAATCTAAACTCAATTACTCTTTCTTATTGAACTTTTCGCCATATAACAAAATAACATTCTTTCCAATGGAAAGAAAATGACAAAATCTTCTATTTTTTAAACACTTCCTGTGCAACTCTAATAAAATACTTAAAATAAATAAAAAAATGGAAAGAAAGTCTTGAGTGGGACAATGTTCTTTTTTCGTTTCAAAAATGTTCAGTAAAATTAATGAATACAATAGACTTTTCAATAATTGTGGAATGGATAGGCGTTATTATATGTAGTTAAATTATCTCCAGTACCTTGTGGATTGATTGGTCCATAATATTCTGTTTGGAAATTAGCAGTTGACTGAACATCATTGATTGGATAATATGGCTGCGGATGTTGAGGAAATCCCTGGTGATAGCTGAAAGTCTTTTGAAAATTCCACGGTTGGGGGTCAAAATTATTAACAAAATTCTGATAGGGTGGAGGCTCTGGGGGTAGTATCTGACTGAAAGGAGTAGTTGCCTGATTTGCATTGCCGTTGATATCATTGGTGGTAGTTGGTAAAGTGTTGCAGGCATCAGTAATGGGGCTAGGAAGAACAACCTTGGAGGCAGCGCCATTAGGTGGAATCGCTGTTCCAACACCTCTCACAGCAGGAGTCTCGTCATTTTCTCTCATTTTTTTGGGGGCTATCGGACTGATATCCGAAATTTTGGAAGCACTAAATGACGATGAGCGACGACCAAGAATATACTTCTCATCATTTTTGAATTTAGTTGGTGTCGATGTTTTAATTTTATCATGTATTGAGCTGCTGTTGACAAATTCAACGGAAAATTCTCCGGATTGACTGAAACTTACGTTTTTGTAAGGAAGATGGTTTGAGGAGCTCTTCCTCCCACTTTTGTTTGAATTGGAAGAGGAGTTCTTGGTTCCAGTCATTGCATCAACCCATTTGGCCATTTTTTCGAGCTCTGATTCCTCTGAATCTGCTTTGGGTCGATGAGATCGAGTTCGAATATTCGTCTTAGTAGCTGATACTTTCGTACACTCTTCCTTTCTTGAGTTAGTACTTGATGACAAATTTGATTCTATAGTACCATCAGAGCTCGAAATGGTCTCTTTAGATTTCTTGGATTTTATGGCTCTCTTCAATTTTTGCGAACTCTTTTTGGTTCCTGGTGAAGGAAGGATCTTCTCATCTCTGTTTTGTCGTATTCTCTCATTCAAATCCTTCTCCAAGTTACTTCCTTTCGCATGAGATCGCAGACCAGCACACATCAAATTTACCACACGATGGAAATCTACAGGTGCCCCGTTACAATTTTTTGTCACATAGTCTGTAAAAACCGAACGAAAAAACATTAATATCTCCAAGATTGATATCACAAAGACAACGAAATTAATTAAAATACCTTGTATCGCTTGGTATAATTGAGGATCTAATGCTGTATAAGTTTTACTTCCACCTAGTGCGCACATATTTTTCAAATTTTGTTCACCGATTTGCCATTTTAATAATCTTCTTGTCAACTCCTTCCCATTTTTCTTCCACTGAATTGTCATATTCCCCAGCGTCTGACTTTCTACCCAAACTCCTGTGTAAGGCATTAATTCTACCTGTAAACATAAGCATATAACACTTGATGATATAAGAAATTAATGATTATTGCTGTGGATGACCAAATTGCTGTGAAAATCGTTATCTACCTTTGTGGGACCAGGGATTTTCCAAGATAGGCACTTGATTTCGACTCTCTTCTTTGAAATGCAAGAAAAACATATATATATTTACATTATGCAAAACCATGAGTAGTTTTTTTTACGAATGGTTCAAAATTAAATAATTTTTACCTCTGAATTTACTTCATTCCTTGCAGATCTGATACTAAATTGAACTTTCAAATAATCAAGCACACATTCAAAAACAGTGATTACCTCTGATGTAACTGTATAAAAAATAAATAATTAACAAAAAATATAAAGAAGAATAAAAGTGAATAAAATTTTTGAAAATCATAAGAACATTTTTTCAATAAATTTCAAATGCAGACAAAGTATACATAGTTATCGAGCGATGATTGATTAGTGATGTTAATTTCTTTTTCGATACATAGATATTTGTAAAAAAAACATAAAAACCTGGTAATGAGGAACACGAACTGCACAGCATACAATTTCTTTCATTCACTTTGAGCAAGTCATTTGGAGGAGTTGTGGTCGTTGAAGTGTCATTCGCTCCTGAAGATTTTGTGCCACACTGAACTTTTCTGTGTTTATGTGATTCCTGCTTGTTTGAATCACATGCATTGCCAACGATCGGTTCATCTGAGTTGTCTGTCGTCTTCTGGAAGCTCTTGCCCATCTTCTGAAGTAAAACCCGATCAAATTTGTTTGCAGTAATCTTCTTGGCGTTTTCTAAATTTTTAGTATCTCTGCATAAACTCCTCTTTGTAACAACATTTGCTACTGTACGTGCCTTTGCACCTCTCTCCTTTGGTAATATTAGTTCCCCTGTTTCTTTGTTAACGGTGAGTTTTTTTAAGTAATCTTCAGCTAAAAATTCATAAGATTAGCTCTATTTTGGAAACATCTGTGAGCATTTATTTCACATAGAACTCAAAATAAAAATAACAACGAAAATTTTTATACTTACTACCGAAACGGATGATTTTTCCAGTGTATTTAACGTGCTCTCCCCACTGAATATCGACACTCTCACCCTGATTAGGTTTTTTTTTATCTTTGGACAAACAAATCATTCTTTCATCGATGACGGCCGATGTTTTATCACCAGGAAACCACACTAAAAGGTGCATTTTGTTGTTCGAACTATTGTAATAATCTAATTGTTATAATATTTGACTTGCACGTGTCCTTCACTTGTCAATTGGGTGAATGTTGTCGTTGAGACTAACAAGCTCACATATGAAGCACGATTCAACGTTACAATATCAAAGAAAAACAATTACTGTTTGAAGTGCGTTACGTACAGCCTGATTTTAGTTTTCCTTCTAAATGAATTCCACGATTATTATGAAATCTCGAACAGGAACAATCAGCACCGATGCCGATCCTGCCGGCAAGTTAACCACGAATTTTTTCTGAAATCAAATTTTCATTTCACCTTAACGTTCACACAATATCTATATAAACTTTTTATGCACTGAATTTTGATTATTTGATAAAATTGTCACTGACTTTTCAACAATAAATATCAACGATTGCCAAAAGTGGTTTACTCTGCAGGGAGCCAAGACGCCGGGCGTTTTGCAGTTACGACACGACGAACATGCTTGGAGAAAATGGCTGTCTCCGTCCACGCGCTTCTGGAAGGTTCTATACTACCGGCAAAGTCAGTTACTAACTTAAAAAAATAGAAAAAGTTATTAGTGCTTTGAAAATTATTATTTCAAAATCCTCGTTTTATAACATTTCTGTTCAATAATTTCATTTCTTTATGTTCCCAACGGATTGCAAACGTTTGAACGATACTTGAGTCATTGAAATATATAATTATGCATAACCTCAGCTGTCAAAATCTTCTCGAATAAAGAATAAATTGGGGAGACAATACTTAAAGTTTATCTGCATTGAGTGTAATATAATGACGGACAGAACAGGAAAATCAAGACCAATATCCTTTTCGGAGTATTCCCTGCGGAGTCAGCAGCGAATTTCACAAATGAGTCGCCAAGTATCATCGACTAATGACGAAGAGAGCTGTTATGAACCCATGGACTACCATGAAGAGTCTGCAAGGTATGCAGTTGTTCTTCAATAATCCCCAAAAATGTAATCGACGTCAGAATAAAATCGTTATCAATGAGTGGATTTTATTAAACATTGCAGTGAATCACCACCCAATTCTTCTGAAGAAAGTTATGGAGCAATTCAAATAGAAAATGATGCTAATGGGTTGGATACTTCTTTTTTGTGTGACCAAGATGAAAGACATTCTGAACTAAGTGGTATGATATATAATTAACGATGGAAATGACTTAAATTCTGGTCGGACCGAAAAAAAGTGATAAGTTCTGTACCTGATTACTTATTTATTTCATTAATTAATTTTCGTCAAGGGCTGATATGAGTACTCCAGACATTTCTAAAACATTATATTTTCACCTCAGAAATACCTTGATTTATTTAGCTGCATCTGACTTAATTGGGAAAAGAAAAAAGTGCATTGATCTGGAAGAAAATATAATTCCTCAAGTTTTGCCTCTAATTAATACGAACAATTGAAGAGTTTTCCAAATCCAATCTCTTTTAGTATTTTCTTCTGAAATCACTTACTGTGGACGTAACTACGTATTTGTACAAAACTACTAAAAAGACGATGTATTAATTAACATTTTCAACAATACTCCTTACGGCAGATTTTTTCAAAACAGAATTTTGTAGTCCTTTTTAGGTATGATATTATTTATAAAGTATACTGATTCTTATAACAGACAGAACTGATGACGAACAGGAACTCCAGGATGCTGGATCTGAATCAGAAGAAAACACGAGAGAATGGATCATGAATGATGAAGCAGTTACAGATGAAGAAGAAATTTCTGAGGATTGGATGGATGATCCACTACTGTATGAAGGTGCTGGAATTACAGTGGGAGAAAGTTTATTAGCTGTTTTGAATGTATTTCTGCGGCACAACTTGACTGGAGCTTGTCTAGTGGATATTTTAAAGTTGGTGGAATTACATTGCAAGGCGCCCAACGCGTGCAAAACGAGCTTGTATTTATTTAAAAAATATTTTGAAAATATTTACACTGCTCTGAAACGCCATTTTTATTGCTCAGGCTGTTATTGCCCTCTTAATGGAGCTAGAGAGGAATGTCATCAATGCCCTGCTGGAACGGAACAATGTTATTTCATCGAAATATCGGTGATAAAGCAACTCGAAACGCTGTATCGACGTTTTGACTTTGTGCATAATCTTCAGGCACGCTTCAACAGAATCAAACAGAATGAAGATAACTATGAGGATATTTATGATGGACAAATTTACAAAGAATGGACTCAACCGAACAGATTTTTGTCAAACCCTGACAATATATCATTAATGTGGAATACAGATGGAGTATCGCTCTTCAAATCATCTAATTTCCAAATATGGCCTTTCTTTTTTGCTATTAATGAACTGCCTTACGAGGAAAGAGTGAAGAAAGAAAATCTTCTGTTAGGTGGTTTATGGTTTGGGTCCAAAAAGCCTTTTCCAGCCCTTTTTTTAAATCCAATATCTGATGATTTGGATAAATTGAAGGATGGAATTCAATTTGAAGTACCCAGTCTTCATAGATCCATAATAGTTAAAGGCAGAGTCATATGTGGAACTTGTGATCTCCCTGCAAAGGCCTTGTTTTTGAATGTTAAACAATATAATTCTACGTACGGATGTCAGAAATGTAAAATTCGTACAGAACGATATGGACAAACTTCGATTCGTATATATCCATTTCAACGACATCTGGATGCTAGGACCCAAGTAGAAACCAATGATTTTGCAGCAATAGCTATAGATTCCCAGGAAACTCCATATGGAATAAAAGGTCCCAGTGCAGTTGCAAGGTTCTGTCCAAATTATATTCGAAGCACTGCAGTCGATGAAATGCATGCAGTATTCTTGGGGATAGTTAAAGCACTTCTCATTCTATGGTTTTCTAGTAAATTTAGCCAGGAAAGGTGGTCCCTCTCTAAACATATCAGGATTATTGATAAGTATCTTTCTGCAATAAGACCCCCCGAATTTGTAACGAGATTACCACGTTCAATTTCTCGACATCTCAAGTATTTGAAAGCTTCTGAATTAAAAGCATGGCTATTTTATTATTCAGTACCTATTTTGAAAGTGGTAATGCCAGCTCTGTACTTCGAACATTATTTATTGTTAGTAGAAGCAATATCCTTATTGAATCAATCAAGCATCTCAGCAGAAAATATTGATCGTGCTGAAGAGATGTTGATTGACTTCGTTGCACGATTTCCTGATTTGTATGATAAGAGGTACATGACTGCGAATCTGCACTTATTGCTCCATCTTACACAAACTGTACGAGAGTTGGGGCCATTGTGGGTCACTTCATGCTTCTCCTTCGAAAATGCCAACGGCCACTTGAAGAAACTCGCAACTGGGACGCGTTTTTCTGGTCTTCAAATTTGTACTGGGCTCTCATATACTAAGGCAATTCCCGAATTGATTGAAAATTTGGAAACAACTAGTATTGTTCATGATTTCTTCGATCGACTGAATAATTGTCAGGAGAAGTACAAATCTTGTCCAATATCTCACAAGTCATCTGCTATTGGTCTTCTGAAGCGAAAGAACGAAATACCTGACGCCATTTCAGAGCTTCTCCAAGCATTAAATCTCATTGGATCCAACCTGGGGGTTTTCTACAGGTTAATGAAATCACGAATTTTCTATTCTTCCGAGATGTATGGACGCTCCACCAGAACCAATTCAACCTTTGTGAAATATTATCACGATGACGAACATCATTTTGGTATTATTACATGTTTCGTACGAATTTCTAATTGTGAATGTCCATCATATTGTAAAAGCGAGTGTGAAACAAGATATGTGGCAATCATTAAGATCTGTGACGTAGATCTTGCATTTAACAATGGACGTCATCGAAAAATTTCGCGAATTTACAGCTGTGATATTACTGATAATATGATATATGTTGATGTATCGAATCTCTTGAATGTTTGTTTCTATTTAAAAGTGTCTGATGAGAAAGCATATGTCATAGAGCCTGTGAATTTAATTGAAGCAGAATAAATTTGTTAGATTGCTAAAAAAAATTCCGATATTTTGTTTTGAAAGATTTAATTCCATTTAAAGAAGAAAAGCTCTTAATTGGAAGTGTCTCCGGAAATTCGAACAATTCCCTGATTTCTTGGTACCGGAAAAATTTAAATTTTCGAACTTACATGTATTTTTTAAAATTGGAAATTAATTTTTTAATTATCAAATTCCTTTGAAGTTTCCCAGGATTTGATCATTCCTGAGACTTCAGGAACTTCCGAGAAATTTTGTTTTAAAATTCAATAGAAAAAATAGATATATAGAGAAAATATCGTTGAATTTCCAACGAGCTGAAAAAAAATCTCACTTGTTATAAACTATGATTGCATTCGATTAATAATGTTCAAGTCCGAATCTCCGCCTCGGAGATTATTCACATACTTCGTCTTAGATAAACCTAAAAATATCAAATTTTTTTCAAGTGGAAATATTTCAGAGGAAGACTTGAGTATTCTGGAGTCTCTCTGCTTAGCGGCTGAGACACACCGATACTTAAGTCCCCCGACGCAGACTGCCGGAGATCCACGGATACTCGAATGGGATCTCCCGCGCCTCAGAAATACTCATAGATACTCTCAATTTTTATCTCGGGAGCTCCACTCATGAAATTTTGACAAAATAAATTTACAAAATGTGTTCATGGACCATAACTCTTATCTCAAATGAGACATGTTGAAAAAATAATTG